GGGAAGAACCATCGTCGTCAACAGGAGGAGGGGGGATGTAAAGAAAGCTCAAATCCCATTCAGGGTGCTGCTGTCTGATCAGGTCGACAATCTACTCCCCGGCGGCGTGGAAATCCTTGGTAGGGATTTCAATGAGCTCCTCTGAAGTCATGAACTCCTCCATGACCTCCTTACGCTTAGCGGCGAAGCCTTCGGAGTTCAGGTAATCCTCGACGGCTGCCAGCATGGCTTCCTCCTTCCCTTTCTCCCCTTTGACTTTCCCCTCGGCGAAGTAGTTCTCCTTAGCCTCGTCCGCCTTCCTCTCGGCGGTCTCCACCCGCGCAATGGCCTCCTCAACCCGAGTCTTCAAGCTGGCCAACTCGTCTTGCAAGCTCGCCAGCTGGCCTAGGGTCAAATCCTTTTCCTCAACGGCAGTCGAGCACTTGGACTTGGCTGCATCTAAGAGGGAGTTGAGTTTGGCCTCGACGCTGTCCATCTCCTTCTTGCGGTCCTCAACCTTGACTAGGTCGATGAGATTGAGGATGGCGAGGACAAGACCCTGAAGGGACCAAATATTAACAAAAAATAAATAAATGAAGAGTTGACACTTACATGGGTCTGGAAGGATATCTGCTTGTGTTGACGGTCCACCAGAGAGGAGCGGGAGGCGGAGACCTAATGCTTGTCAAAAAGTGACTTGTACAAGGCTTAGAAGACCAGGGAAAAGCGCGGAGGGAGATTCAACATCGCCTCAATCTGGGCGTCGGAGATATCGGGGACCAGGAACAACAGATCCGTGACCTTGGCCTTAGGCATCAAGATGCGCTCCCTTGGTGGATGAAGAACTTCAATGACGTCGGGGACAGGAACCACTAGCGCTTCCTCCCTATGTGGCCGCTTGGGCGCGGGAGCCACAGAAGTTGATGCCGAGGCGCCCCCCGAGGCTTTCCTCTTCTTGGGGGCTGAGGAGACGCCAGCGTCGACCTTCTCCTTCCCCTTCGGTTGGGGTCGATTGCCGGTAGGGAGCCGAATATTCAAGGAGGCCATTTCTGCACCAATGAAGAAGTTAGAATTGAAAGGTCGACTATATATCTACGGGTCAAGCCCTTAAGGTTTACCTTCTGCGTTTAGATCAAAAAATTCTTGAATGCGAGGGAGGTCAGTGGGATCTGGAAAGGTGAGTATTAGCCCAACTTCCCTAAGGTTGTCATCGGTTAAAAGGACGATGATGTGGCGGTCGAACTCTGGGATAGAAAAGGCCTGGTCAACCTTCACCCGTCTGTGCCTTGTTAGCTTCGACCGGTTGTGGCTAACTGCATGGCAAGGTAATGGTCAGTGATATAAAAAAAAAGGGGGCAGAGAGGAGAGGGAACCTTCTTGATTCTCACTTAGGTTTCCAAAGGGAATCTGCACCCTTCGGCAGTAGGGGCGGCGGTCTGCGGGATGAAAGTCGAAAGGCCCCCTGACCAAGAAAAACATGGGCTTCCAGCCATGAGAAGAGGAGGGGATCCCATGTATTAGCCTTCCTAACCGAGGCTGAGATCGCCCATGGCCACCCAAATAAAGCCACCCATCGCACTTGGCGACGTGGCTCAGCTTATATATGTACATAAACTCATCCAGCGGCAGGTCTATGTCAAACCGCTTGCTCCACAAGACCCAGGCGCCGGCAAAGTATTACCAAAAATTCGGTGCCAGCTGGGCAGGGGAGATGCCATGATGATGGTAGAAATCCTTCACAAAGGGATGAAATGGCAAAGTCATCCCTGCTGTGAGGGCCCGAGTGTATACCTGAAGATATCCAGGGAGAGGGAGGCTGGACCTAAAATGAGAATCTGGGAGAAGGTATTCAAACCACCTCCCATCAATGTGCCCATCTTCATACGCCCGGACAATGTCCGTATTGCAAGTCCTCGACGCTGTCACATCAGCTGTGAAAAAAGGCCGATTTGGGTCACCGCTCATGCCTGCCAACGGGGCCTCAACGACAGAAGCGGCGAATCCATGTGTCTCCTTCCCAACCAGGGAACTTTCGTTGTTGTCGTCTCCATCGATCAAAACGTCGACGCTATCAATCTCTGGTTCCGCTACGTAGTCCTCAACTTCCCCCAGGACAGGGTCGTCTTCTGTCGAGGAGGAGGACCATGAGGTCTCAGTAGCAGAGGGAGAGTCTGGCCTCATAATAGTTGAAGGACCCTCTCGACGGCTAGATGGTTTAGGAGCCATTATTCTAATATAACAAAAGAGAAGGTATAATGTGGTGAGCTAAGGCAGAAGCCTAAGTCGAGAGGGAAAGGGAAAACTACGACAACGGCGATTGCTCTAAAAGAAGGGCGTAACAATGCTGACTACTCATAAGGCCGCCAACCATTCATAACAAAAGGCGATGAGCATTCAAGGGAAAAACCCAGGTTTCCCAGTCAAGCGCCCCAAATCCAGAACGTTAACTCCTAAATGACCAGAAACCAAGGAACTAGCCTATGGGGGGTCACATGTACACAATGTAAGTTTCCTAACCCCCTGTGTGTCTGTTTCAGGCCTAAAGCACGTAACAATCCAACAGTCCAAACACGAAGAAAGGAAATGATGAATCGAGATGAGGACTTACCAGGATATCAGGAGGTGCTGGATACGGAAATACGGCTTGAACTGGCTTCGCGTAGTACCAGAAGGAACAAGGAAAAAGAGCTGTGAGTCTTGGAAAAATCTGGGCAGAATAACAATACGGGAAGCCGCCTTTTTAAAGTAAGGCGAGTCCTCGATCCCTGACCGTTGGATGAATTCCCAATGAATCCAATGGTGGGGGAAATTGATCAAGATCAAATGACATAAACAAAGGCGGGAAGCAGGAAAGTCATGATCCAACGTCTCGGGTTCACCCGTTTAAATGAAGACCCACGTCAGCAGAGTGATTGAATCGCCGCGGCGTTTGTATTTCTCGAGGGACTTACGGGGTAATTACCATTATTACCAAGTAGGTTCGGAGGCAGGCTCACTCACCCGAAGCACACGGAAAGAACTGGAGCAGATCCCAGACCTAGCTCGAGGCAGCCTAAAGGGAAGCCTCGACCTGGGGGGTAGCTGTTGTATGGGAAAATTCACGTGACACGTCAGATAATGGCCATGCTCCACGTGGCCCAGTGCATGTCACGCCACGTTGTCCTCGACGCTTCGGAAGGTCCTTCCCCTCTGAATGATGAGAGAGCCGAGTGCACAGAAGGTATACCGTGGACTCCATTTGCCCGGTCAGATGCCAAGTGCTACGATAGGATCGGCACCCTAGAGCGCAGGCGCCGAGGGTAAGCCGTGAGCAACAGGGCTCATACCCCGAGAAAGGGCCTTGAGGTGACACGTTGGAATCCCAAGGTGGCGTCTAGAGTTGGGCGAGGTCAGATGTACAGGGAATGATTACAAATCCCCCTAAACCGCCTAGAGTAGATCAATCGGCATTACAGAGGATTTGTATAGCCATAATAAGGGACAAATTGAGTGAGTGAACAGTCCTAAGGACACTGGCAGGCTACGGATTGGACAGACAAGATGGTAGCCCACTCGAGTGAGTGGGCCAGAGGGAAACCGCCAAAGAAAAAGTCCAAAGGAAAGCCCACGGTGAGAGGAAGGATGCCTCTGGGCTATAAATAGGAGAAAACCCCTGAGAGAAGGGGTTGGATCTCCATTTGTTCATGTAATCTGTAAAGAACCAAAGAAGTGAAATATACTACAGTGGATGTAGCTCTTGTTCTATAAGGGTGAACCACTATAAAACCTGTGTCTTTTATTTTGTAGAGGAGAGATAGTGTTCTTATTCAGCAACCTACCTAAAAATACAACCAAACTTTCATATTTAGCAAAAATACTAGTTCCGAACCGGTAACCACGCGAGATACCGCGGGGTAACCTGGTACGGTTTTGTTGACGAAATTTGACCGTCAACAATTACCATTCAATTAATAAAGAGAAAATAAAAAAGCTACAATAACACCCACTTAGAACGACAAATAATAAGTATAGACAAAATCATAATAAACTATGTACTTTTCTCAAATTTTTTTTTTTTTAATTTTAAATGCCCAACAATTCATTTATCCGAAGGAACCGTCATTAGAAGGAGCAACATCATATACGAATCCAACTCCATAATTTACTTTATAACAGGATAGCCCTTTATTCCCAATGAAAAAAATATAAAAATTTGCTATTCCATTTTAAATTCCCCACGACTAATTGGTTAGTATTAGTAACTAGGAAGCAAATCCAGTATAGTAAGCTCGAAACCTTGCATTCCACTTATACAGTATAACCAATCCCCGATCAAAGTAGCCTATTAAACATAGTAAAGAAGCCAAAAATTCATTTCAGTACACCAAATGTCATTTAAGGCTGTTAAATTTCTTGGAACATTAAACAATCTCAACTTCTAAATCCCACATCAACACCGTGAAAATATGAGAAATGAGGGGTACGTTTGAAATTAATTTTAAAATAATTTTATTTTCAATAAAAAGTAAAAATGAATTAGTTTTGAGAATTATTCTGTAACTAATTTTAAAATTACGTTTGATTAATTTTTAAAAAAAATTATTTTGAGTATAATAAAAAAATAAAATCGTATTTATTAATTAATATATTATAATATTATTGATAAGTACTAAAAAAATAAAAACAGAAAAGTGAAAATAACTTTCAACTGTTTTCTAATTCTTTAACAAAAACCACTCACTGTTTTTATTTTCATCTTCATTTTCAAAACATTTACTAAATAAACATCGTTTTGTTTTTATTTTTATTTTTTATTTTTTGAAATACGTAAAAACCGTTCAAAAAACGATTCTAAACATGCACAAAGAGTGTTCCCTTTTTCTATTTTTTTAGGACGTTCCCTTTCTAATAAATAGTGTACTTACAAAACTAAAAATGACAGTTTAGTGAGCCCCGTCTAATTTAAGAAATAAAAAAGAGAATATCAATTCTGACACCATTTGGTATTAATTCCTGGTTAATGGGAACAAATATCAAATATATTTTTGTACCTATAATAATTTCACATATTTAACTATGTAAAAGGACATGTTATTACAAATAATAATTAAAAAAAAAAAACTAGAGAGCTAGGGAATCAATGATTCCATTCTTAGGCTTTTATTTAATTTTCCAAACCCACTGCCCTTCTGCTTACATTCGATTACGGTTTGGTGAACATGCTCCTAATTTATGTAGGCCTCTTACATTCAGCTTTTGGAGAAAGCTAGCCATGCAAAATAGTACTCAATGGTTAGTACTTAAGCATTAGAGAATAGATACAAATGAGCTATCAAAAACTCGTGTTACAGACATTCAAGGTTTCTTGTTGACAACTTGTCACTTGATGTATAGCATTCGCCAAGTAACTCACATTGCCAGAGGTTACACCTGCCATGCTGCCATCATGACAGTTAGGATGGCATTTATCATTCCTATACCAATCTACCAGTTAGTTTAAAGATGTTTATAGTATAATGCTTACCTAATTCGACCGTCGTGAGTCATGTATATGTGGAATTCTCTAGCCAACAGTTTGACCTGATCCGGGGTTAAGCCGGAGAAGCAGAACATTCCGACCTGTGGTTTAAACACTTTAATATTAGATACAGCATAATCTTAAAGCCAAAGGATAGTACTCTTTTCGTATTAGTACACCAACCTGATTAGTAATGTGTTCCCAGTTAAGAGGAGAACCCAAACTCTCAAGATTGTCACGAAGAGCAGAACGGATACTTTTAATGCGACTTGCCATAACCTGGAAACATACCTCAAATGGATGTATTAAAATTGCTCGGAGTTAGTTAGATATGCGCCAGTAGAAACCGGAAAATGCTGAGTTATTACCTTCACCTCTCTGAGCCAAAGTGATTTAATATCCGAATTGCTCAAGATCGTGGAAACCAATAATAGACCATGAACAGGAGGACTGCCGTACATTGCCCTCGCAATCTGCTGAAGTTGGCTTTTGACTGCAACTCCTTGCTTTTGATCGGAACACAGAACACTGAAAAAGATGTTTTAGAATAAGAAAATCTGAACAGCAATTATACAAAAAATAAAGTAAATAAATAAAAGGAATTAGTGATGTGAGACGTGCACATAACGAATAGTGAGTACCACAACCAGTGGCACAAAATACCACTGCTCTTGGAATCCAACTTCGCGGACAAAGAAAGGTAATTAGAAGGTTATGGCCAGCTAATAGTCTCAGTCAACCGATCTGATAACAATTTAAGGCAGACTCAACTGGTATGCCCTTCTTTGAGGTCTAAACATTTTAGATTCATGTGAGTTGAGATACTGTTAACATTTCAATTTATGAAGTAATTTTTCCCATAACAGATTTTTAGAGAATATCAGCGTAAAAAAATTTCAAGAATGTTCTACTCGCCTGAGACAACCAACTCGGTGTCCATATAATCCCATATTCTTTGCAAAGGATTGAGCACAACCAATCAAATGCCCATCTTCAACAAAAATCCGGATGGCTTTGGCATCAATGTCGAGATGTCCACTCGCAAAACCTTGATAAGCCATATCGAAAATGGGGAAATGATTTTTTACCTGCAAGTCTTTGATGTGAGATTTGAACTAATTGGAGAAAAAGAAAAGAAATACAGCAACAAAACACATTTAAAATAAGTACCTTAAACAGATATGAGATTTCTCTCCATTGTTCCTCAGTAGGGTCAACTCCAGTTGGATTATGAGCACAAGGATGGAGTAAGAAAAACGAACTGTCTAGGGCATTCTGTAAAATCCACCAAAACAAAACAAACTAAGAATGTCAAGACCCTTGTTTGTACCTTATATTTATGGGATAATATAAAGCATATGTATAGTGCTTTAAGTTAACGACTCTAAAAAAATTGCGTTGGAAGTGTCAAGACGTATGATATTTCAGTCAGTTTCTTTTCAATTTCACCATAAATTAAAATAATACTATAGGGAAAAGAAATGTTCATTGAAATATTTCAGACAGGAGATTCATACAGTATACTTTGTAGGCTATAAAATGAAAGATAGTTCAATTTGTTTGAGTGAGATACGAAAATTCAGTTGTAATCTAACTCAACTAATTCATTCTTGCTATTATGTACCTTGATGTCATCCATGAGTGCTGCAAAGTTTAAACCTCTTGTATTTGGATTATAGTAGCGGAAGGTTCTCCAAGGAACGTGGGCATCTCTCCAGATGTTGTGGTGGCTATGCAATGCACATGATTGGTACATAGTTGTCGGACAAAAGGAAATTGCAGATTAATATCACGTACATTACAGGGTTGATACAAAATATATAGTAATAGAAGCACTTAGGGACCTATTACAAACTTACTTGGACCAAGTTGGATTGGTTAAATAAATTTGTGATTCGGGATAATATCGCTTCTGGAACTCAGCAAAGAGACGGCAGGCACCCGTGCCGGAGAGAGCCTCAACTCCAGCAGGTCTACCTTCTGAAATGACATTGGAGTCCTTTCCATACACCAATTTTAAACTTTCTTCAACCAATTTTGAACTGACTGACGTAGAAATAGATTCCCTGCCAATGCCTCTCACACAATGAGTGTCAATTATCTCCAGAATCACAGGGAAATAACAAGGCGAATGTCAGAAAAGAAAAGCAATAAGATAAGGTGAGAATGCAATTCTAAGGGAGATGTTGATTTCAGTCAGCAAAATAATGCCAAAATATAAGTTAGCTTACAGGTGTTGGCCAATCAAGTCAGAGAGAAGTGCCAGCTCAGATCTTGAACCTAGCTCAGCATAGTCAAGTTGGTATAGTTAGAGGAAGATAAGTTATATTGAATTAGTTACAGAATCAGGATCGGTATTTTGATTAGTTAGACAACTTGTATAATTAGTTAAAAGATCAGATGTAATTGTATTCCACTATAAATACAAATGTTCACTTTCTCAGATTAATTGCACTGAGAGATTTCCATCAAAGATTTTCCTTCTCATTTTCTTTCTAGCCAAACAATGTGTTTTGTCTTGATATCAGAGCTTCTTGAGTTTGTCAATGGCGTCTTCTTCATACATTGTTCCCTCTACTCTGCCAGGCTCTCTTTCAACTTCCTCTGCAAAGCTCAACATGGCGATTTCAGTCTGATTAGAGCATGGGAACTACATTGTTTGGCGATCTCAGATCTTACCTGCAATTCGTGGCCATGGATTTGAAGACTACATTCCTGGTACAAAGCGCTGTCCTCTTAAGTTCATTGAGAAGCAGAACAGTGAAGGAAATCTGGAAAGAGTTCCAAATCCAGCTTATACTCGGTGGATTTGTGAAGATCAACTTCTCCTTAGCTGCCTCTTATTAAAAGTGAAATGCCTTTGATTAATTTTCTATACATTTTCTACTCAGAGATTACACCATTTTATATACAAAGATAAGCTAACTACCACCTAATAACATAAATATACAACGGTAAAAAACTTAATTAAATGAGATTAGGTGAAACTAATTGTGATTCGTTGATAAGCACTTCCAAAGCGTTGATCAACCTCGACATGCTTTGTGCGGTCGTTTTATCATCACAATATAGCATCATGGGACCATCAATGTTGATCTTTAGGTTTGAAAGTATGATCTTCAACCACAGTAGTTCACATATCCTTTGAGCCATAGCATGGAATTTTGCCTCGGCACTAGAATGGGCCACGAATAGTTACTTCTTGCTTCTCCAAGAGACCAAGTTGCCTCCAAGAAAGGTGCAGTATCCTGTAGTTGATTGTCGATCTAGTTTGGATTCTACCCAATCAGCATCAGTATAAGCTTTACCTTGAGTTCCTCATTCTTCCAGAATATAAGTCCTTTTTCGGGAGATCCTTTTAGGTATCTTAGGATCCTATGCACGACTTCTAATGTGGTTTTACGGGAGCGTGCATAAATTGACTCACTACACTCACAGCATAAGCTATATCCGTCTTGTGTGAGATAAGTAGATGAGTTTTCCCACCATCCTCTGATACTCTCCTTTGTCAACTGGTTCTTTTGTAGTGAGACGTAGATCCCATGTCTCGAACGAGCCACTTCAATTCCTAAGAAAAAACGCAAGCTCCCTAGATCTTTGATTTCAAATTCCTTAGCAAGATAAGCCTTTAACCCAGCTATCTCCTCGTGGTCATCCCCTGTCACGACAATATCGACAACATATACAATTAGTTTTGTGAGTTTTCAGCATAGGGTGTGGTCTCCTTGACTTTGAAAGTAGTCTTGTTTCAACATAGCTCGGGAGAATCTTCCAAACCATGCTCGCGGTGATTGCTTCAAACCATAGAGGGATTTATTCAGTTACATACTTTATTTCTTCCAACGATCTGTTGATATCTTGGGGGAACATCCATATACACATCTTCTTCCAAATCTCCATGTAAGAAGGCATTCTTCACATTGAGTTGATGGAGGGGACAGTCCTTTGTTGCTGCCAGTGATATAAGAATTCTAATGGTGTTGATCTTGGCCACATGAGCAAATGTTTCGAGATAGTCAATTCCATAAGTTTGGGTGTAGCCTTTTGCAACAAATCTTGCTTTGTATCTATCCAAAGATCCATTAGACTTGTATTTGAGGCTGAAAATCCATTTACACCCAACTTTCTTGTCATTTGGCGCTTCTACTATTTCCCAAGTTTGATTCTTTTCCAAAGTTATCATTTCATCCTCTATATCAACTCTTCAACGCTTCGAGGCAAGAGCTTCATTAACTGAGGTGAGACTTTTTCAAATAAGACTTATGAGAAATGTCCAATATTGAGGAGAGAGATTCTGCAAGGAGACAAATGAGGCATGGGGTGCTGGGTGCAATTCCGAACCACTTTTCTCAAAGCTATAGGGATATTAGCAGTTGGGGATTCAGATATAGGAACAAAGTTGGTTGAGTGTTTTCATTACTTGACTCGGAGTTGACAACTGGAGCTTGGTAATTGACGACGGACCATTTCTCTTGGAGAACGCTTTTAGAGGTGGCGACTTTAGTGTCTCAGTGTTGATTTCTTTTTCCTATTCTGGAATAATGAAGGGCTCTGCTTCATTTGGAATTTTGGTTGTGCCAGGCTCGGTGTTGCTGACAGGGTCAACTGTAGGCTGGATAGTGGGGTTGATTGTCTCAGTTTCAATTGGACCACTGACAGCTATAGGTTGGACAATAACATCCCAACTCCACGTATCTTCCATTTTAGTGCTCTCCCCTTGAAGATAGGACTGGGGAAAGTATGATTGATCTTCAACAAGAACAACAACTATTGTGACATAGAGTCGTTTTGTGGGAGGATGGTAACATGTATACCCCTTCTTTTGTGCCGAGTACCCTAAGAACACACACTTCAAGGCTCTTGGGTCAAGTTTGATTCAAGAGTGAGGATGGACAAACACATAAGCAAGGCAATTAAAGACTTTTGGGGAAAGTGTCACTGCCTTGGAAATCGGGAAACATTGAGAGCAACTTAGTTACAAGCTTCTAGTATTCAAGGACTCATGAAGGCATCCAGTTGACGAGATAAGCACTGGTAAGGATGACATTTCCCCAATCGTATTTAGGTACTCCCATTTGAAATAAGAGTGCCCTCGCAACTTCAAGAAGATGGCGATTCTTCCATTCAATAACTCTGTTTTGTTGGGGCGTATCGACACATGGATTGGTACAAGATACCTTCGTTTGTGAAGTAGTTCATCAGATCGTGGTTGAACTACTCCTTTCCATTGTTTGATTGTAGGGTTTGAATGGTGGCTCCGAATTGAGTCTTAACAAACAGGTGAAAGGTGTGAAAAATGGATGAGAGTTCAGACTTGTGCCTCGTTAGATAGAATCAAGTTGTCCTAGTACAATCATCAATGAAGGTGATAGCCCAAAGTATTAGTAATACGTGATGGACCCATACATCAGAATGAATCAAACTGAAAGGAGAAACAAACTGAATTTCTTTGATTGCAAAAGGCACTTGATGATTTTTAGCAAGAATACAAGACTCACAATGGAGGTTGCTAACCTCCATTTTGGTGAACAATGACGGAAGTAATTTTTTCATTAAGGAAAAAGAGGGATGGCCTAATCGGTTACGCCACAAATAAATATGTTCTGCACCGATGCTGAGCGAAACCAAACACTGAGACTCCTCTTTAAAACCACATTCCCAAGCAGTGTCCAAGTACTACAGTCCATCCTTCAACTTACCAAGCCCAATCGTCTTGCCCGAGTGATCCTGAAAAACAACAACCAGAAGGTGTAATTTTAATCGAGCAATTCATATCACTTGTAATTTTTCCAATTGACAACAAGTAATGATCCAAATTAGGAACATGGAGAACAAATTGAAGAGTGATGGTTTTTATGATTTGAATAGAGCCCTGGCCAGCAACTGAGGAGTAAGTTCCATCAGCTACTTGGATTTTTTGTTTCCCCAAACAAGGAGAATACTTCAAAAAAGAGTTTGACATGCATGTCATGTGGTCGGGAGCACCTGAATCAATGATCCAAACAGGAGTTGAGGGAGGTAAAAGCTTGTATACCTGAAGAAACCATGGAACATGAACCTATTTTTTCTGATTGATTGGGGTTATCAATATGATTCAGCAATTGACGAAGTCTTGCAATGTCTTGTGGGTTGAGCTCGGATTCACCTATATCAGTGTTATTGGCAACCGAATTGTTTGCTTGTCCCCGGCGATTTGGTTAGTTCCCTCCTCAATGGTTGGGTTGCTTTAAATTTTGTGCCTTTCCATGAAGCTTCCAACACAGCTCTGGTGTGCCATGGTTTGTTGCAATAATCACACCAAAGCTAGTCTTTGTCATTATTTCTCTTGTTCTCTGTTGGCTTCTTGGCAAGAAGGGCTGAGCTGTCGCTTGTTGGACCTCCAATGCCGCTAGGTTTCTTCAATTTTTTGTTGCTTTCTTTACTCCAAACATAAAAAAAGACCTCGTCTAAGTCTGGGAACGGTTCTTTTGCTAGGACTGGATGACACGCTTGATCAAATTCCTTGTTTAGTCCAGTAAAAAATTGAATAACTCGATCTTGCTCCATAAGGTCTTTGATTTTCTTTGCATCAGTAGCACAATTAAATTCGGGTTTTGATAGAGATCAAGTTCAGCCAGCAAACCTTTAAGAGTGTTGAAGTATGTTGTGACATCAACGTCACCTTGTTGTGTTCGAGATAATCTGTTTCTTGATTTGAAAGATCTGTGACGCAAAGCCAGTCTTGGAATAAGTCTAGTTAACTGCATCCCAAATCGCTTTGGCAGAGGGGAGCAACATGTAGTTCTGCTGATTTCAGGAATCATGGAGTGGAAAAGCCATGACATCACCGTTGAGTTTTCAGCCTCCCAAACTTTATATTTTGGGTCATAATCAGCAGGTTTTACGGCAGCTCTTGAGATGTACTTGAGTCGGCCTTTTCCCTTCAAAGAGATAATTGCTGATTTGGACCAAGCCATAAAATTTTTTCCATTAAGCCGACATGTGGTAAGTTGAAGGGTTGGGTTCTTCGAATAAGCAGTAGAGTGTTGATGAGGAGCAATAGAAGATATTTCAGATTCTGACATTT